AGCTCTGTCATTTCCAAGTAAAAACCATATAGTTTAGCATCTTTTTCATATCTTGTTTGTATTTGTATTTATAATACCAATCCATTTCAATACCTTGTTTTTCTATTTCTTGTTTCTTTTTCAATTCCCCCTTATCTGTTAGTATATCTTTATATCTAAGAATAGTCCCCATATTAATAATATTTGGATGTATTAATGCTTCCATTGTACATAACCATATTGGTATTTTCAAGTAAGGTTTATCTCTAACATTTCCCCTTACTAATAATAATGCATTTCTTACATAGTGTCTTTGAAAATAACTGCATCTTATTTTTGCCATACCATTAAAAAGCATGCCATCCCAATTGTAAATCATGTCCTTCCAAGGTTAATAGTCTTTTATTTCTTAATTCCACTTTTATTGGTATTGTTTGAAATAAAAATAAGAATCTCGGTAATATATTCATCTTAATTATCGCAATCCTTCCCATTAGTGATAACTGTAAATTTTTCCATTTCTCCAAGTCTTTCTCAAGACCGAGTGGCTGTGGTTTCTGACATCCCGATATAGTCAGTTGGTGCCATCACTGACTATTGGGGGCGAGTTGTTGGCCCCCACGGAGAGGGCTCGCAACTTGGGTGTCCTCCTGGACTCACGGCTTTCTTTAGAAGAGCATTTGACGACTGTGGCCGGGAGGACTTTTTATCAGGTTTGCCTGATCTGCCAGTTGCGTCCCTTTCTGGATCGGGACTCATTACGCATTGTCACTCATGCCCTCGTCACTTCCCGCCTGGACTACTGTAATGGTCTCTACATGGGGCTCCCCTTGAGGAGCACCCGGAGGCTCCAACTGGTCCAGAATGTGGCCGTGCGGGTGGTTATGGGAGTGATGTGGTGCTCCCATGTGACTCCCCTCCTGTACGAGCTGCACTGGCTCCTGGTGGTTTTCCAGGTGCGCTTCACTGTTTTGGTTACCACCTTTAGAGCGCTCCATGGCTTAGGACCGGGGTACCTACGAGACCGCCTTCTGCCATCAATAGCCTCTCACTGACTAGTACGCTCCCATAGAGAGGGTCTTCTCAGAGTGCCGTTGGTCAAACAATGTCGACTGGCAGCCCCCAGGGGGAGAGCCTTCTCTGTGGGGGCACCTGCCATCTGGAACGAGCTCCCCCAGGAGATACTGAGGATCCCAGATCTGCGCACTTTCCACCGTGCCCTCAAAACATTCTTATTCCAGCAGGCTGGTCTGGCCTAACCTCCCTTTTAATTGTTTTTAATTTGGTTTTGTGTTTACTAAGAGTTCATTAAATACTTCCAATATTACATTGTTTAGTACATCTTGCAGTATCTTATATAGTTCTGCTGGTAATCCATCCGGGCCCGGTGTTTTCCCATTCTTTTGTTTTTCGATCGCTTCTGTTAATTCCATCATTGTTATTCTTTCTTCTAGTGCTTTTTTTTATAATTTTCAGGTATTTTAGGTAGGTCGGATTTTCTTAAATATTGTTCTATCTTTTCTCCAGCTATTATCTCTTGTTTATATAGTCTCTCATAATACTTTTGGACTATTTTTTTCTTTTCTTCATTTCTATAACATATCATTCCTTTTTCATCTACTAATTGGTTGATTAGTTTTTTCTCCTCCTCTTTTTTAATTTTATATGCCAACCATCTGCCTGGCTTATTTGCATTTTCAAAAAAAAAAATTGTTTAGAAGCCCTTAATTTATTTGTCAAATCCTCTTGTTCAATTAAATTCATTTCATGTTTTTTCAAGTCCATTTGTTTTTTAATTTTCTTATTTTGTGTATCTTTTTTGCAATTCCTTCTCCAGTTTTTTATATTCCTCTTCTAACTTTTTTTCTTTTTTAGAATTATTTTTTCCTAATCTATGTCTAATATTCCTAATCTAATCTATGTCTTAGTTCTTGCTAAATCACCAATATTCCTTCTGGGATTAACCACCAAAAGCTCACTCCTTTTTGGATTAGCAACTTTGTCAGAAAATGATATTCTTTTCTCAGGTCTTTCATACTTCTGGGTATTTGTCTCACCACTACTATCTCTTTATCCTTGTATTTTATTGGAGTGTTCCTTGCTAAAGGATTTATGTAGGATATTTAAGATTTATTCATATTTAAGCCCATTCGAAAGTAAGTGCTCATGTTGCTTCATTTCCATCATTGTCCAGGATTCTTTAACCTAATCCATTATCCCTTTCAACACTCCCTTTGAACTTGACTTAGATCTATTTTCTTATCCTTGCTATTAGGATATTTCAAATATTGACTCAAATGATGTCTAATTTTTGCAGCAACATTTTCATGGGTTTTATACTTTTGATTCCTAAAGCACCATACAAATATGGTAAAAAGCTGACTACCATTTTATGAATATATATTTAATACAGGGTTAATGGATATTAATGGATATTAGGTAGCATTTGTTGAGGTTATTTGAAATGTGATATACATTGAGTTTGTGAATCCTGAATATTTAACTGTATTGAAAGAAATTGGCTTTCATACTGCATCATAACCATTTACTCTCAACCCATAAATCTGTTTCCACTGTAAACTGCTATCAAGATTAGTAATATGGGAAATTCATTGAAATGGAATTTTCTCAGGCAAAAAACAACAACACCATACAATCCTAGAAAGCATTAATAGAGGGATAGAATCAAGATCACATGAAGTTCTAGTATCACTTTACAAAGCCTTAGTAAAACCACACTTGGAAAACTGTATTCAGTTCTGGTCACCATAGAATAAAAAAGATGCTGAGACTCTAGAAAGAGTTCAGAGAGCAGCAACAAAAATGATTAGGAGCTGGAGGCTAAAACATATGAACAACACTTAGAGGAACTGGGTATGACTAGTCTAGAGAAAAGAAGAAGTGGGGTGACATCAGGGGTGAAATTCAAAATTTTCCCCTACCGGTTCTGTGGGCATGGCTTGGTGGGCATGGCAGGGGAAGGATGTTGCAAAATCTCCATTCCCTCCCCACTCTGGGGCCAGCCAGAGGTGGTATTTGCTGGTTCTCTGAATGAATCAAAATGTCCACTACCGGTTCTCCAGAATCTGCTGAATTTTACCCCTGGGTGACATGATAACAATGTTCCAATATTTGAGGGACTTCTAAAAGACAAGCAGATCAAACTATTTTTAAAAACACCGAAAGGAAAGACAAGAAACAATGAATGGAAATTAAACAACCTAGAACTAAGGCAAAATTTCCAATGGTGAGAGCAATCAATTAATGGAATAGCTTGCCTTCAGAAGTTAGGGGTGGTTCATCAGGGCCACAATTCGAATCCTGCATTCAGTTTTGGTTGCCATGATGTAAAAAAGATGTTGAGACTCTAGAAACAGTGCAGACGAGAACAACAAAGATGATTAGGGGACTGGAGGCTAAAACATATGAAGAATGGTTGCAGGAACTGGGTATGTCTAGTTTAATGAAAAGAAGGACTAGGGGAGACATGATAGCAGCCTTCCAATATCTCAGGGGCTGCCACAAAGAAGAGGGAGTCAAGCTATTCTCCAAAGCATCTGAGGGTAGGACAGGAATCAGTGGGTAGAAACTGATCAAGGAGAGAAGTAACTTAGAACTAAGGAGGAATTTCCTGACACTGAGAACAATTAATCAGTAAAACAACCTGCCTCCAGAAGTTGTGAATGCTCCAATACTGGAAGTTTTTAAGAAGATGTTGGATAACTATTTTTGTCTGAAGTTGTGTAGGGTTTCCTGCCTAAGCAGGGGGTTGGACTAGAAGACCTCCAAGGTCCCTTCCAACTCTGTTATTTTATGTTCTTTGTATTTTCCCTTCCGTCTCGCCCTTGATTCAAAATGTATACGGACTAATGACCGTAATAAAGAGTGACTTGATTTGGCTTGCAATTAGAAGTCTTGGCATTTTTCAAGAGAATCAAATATAATAGAGCAGGAGTGTCAAACTCGATTTCATTGAGGGCCACATCAGGGTTGTGTTTGATCTCGGGGGGGGGGGGGCAAATCCTAGAAGAAATGTGCATCCCTCTTTGATAGAAGGAGATATCAGAAAGATGAAACTATCTGGGGGTGGGAAAGGTTTTCCCAGAAACTGGAGGAATGTGGTTTCACTTGCTGCCTGCATCCTGTGGATAGGACATCTCTTGTTTGCATGGCTTAGTTTCCGCCATGGCCAGGGGTTGTGGACCTCTGCTTTAAGTTATGTTAAAGTGTTTGCAATAGAAAGTATGAAACTTCAGGACAGGGAATCTTTTGAAGATTTTTTAGTGAGCTTAAGGTAATTTTTTTAAAAAAGTTCTGCATTGTTACTCTGTGAAATTTATTTATTTATTTATTTATTTATTTATTTATTTTTATTTGTTCAACGTGTATGCCACCTTTCTCCGAAGACTCAAAAAAATACATACAATAAATGATTGATACCTACTGGATCTGTTCATATTTTATTTTGTGAAAAAGTGGTAGAAAATAAATGTGGTACTTTGAAAAAAGCATTATTTTTAACCATTAAATTTATTTAAATTTATTTATTTTTCATTGCTTATATATATATATATATATATATATATATATATATATATATATATATATATATATATATATATATTAGAAAAGCTGAATTATCAGCTACTTATTATCTCATCAAAACAAAATAATTATATCCCAGAGGAAAGGCCAAAACATTAAAGGCTGCACAGAAGGCTATTGAAATTCAATGACAAACCACAGTGAATTTGGTACAAGGGGTAATAAGATCTCTGTCAGATTTGTTGCTTCAAGTTTCTAACTTCTGTTCTTTTCTGCCAGAATATCTGTTCAAATCCTGGTGACATCCAAGATACAAATTTGCACTCACATCGATCTTCAAATAGAAAATAATAGATTTTCTCACTAGGTGCATCATCAGATCTAAACCATGGATCAATCTCTAGATGAAGTCTTGGATTATATGTACTTTCTGATTGGCAGGATGGGAGGGAAAACATTTTCATGATAACAAAAGTATGAAGATGTTTCTTGTGATGTTTTTGGTACACAAAGTAGTTACTCTGAAATGCCTTGCAAGTGATGCTTTCCTTATTCCACATGAGTGGTACCAGCCTGGGGACTTCATCATTGGTGGGATGACATCTCACTTCGCTTACCACCTTTTGGAAATTAAATTTAGTGAAAATCCTTCTAAGAAACCTTATGACATACCAGCGTAAGAATTTTTTTCTCTATCTTACCTTACTCAGATTTTCAAAAATGCTTCATATGAATAAAAGCTATTTGCGCATAAATGTAGAGTTTTTAATGTATCTATGACTTATTTTTCTTTCAATTGTATCTGGTTATGAAAGAAGAAATAATCTTCTTTACATTATTTTTAAAGTCTTTGACATGAAATGTACCAAACTTCAGACCAAGAAGCCTCTATTTGAAGATTTACTGGGATAAAGCTAATTTTTAGAAAGATTTGGCATTATTTCTCCTCACAAAACATAAATACAGTAAATGAGTGTTACCTCCTGAATCTATTCATAAACCATTTTTTGAAAATGTAATAGAAAATATAATACTCTGAAAAATGTCACTACTTGTTGCCGTGCATATTTCTTGGAAGTCAGAGAAATGCTTTGTAAAATAAATTTGAGTTGTGTAGAAATTACCAATAAAGGAGAAAATTTTTAGTTCCGGATGAAAATGAGGGGGTCCTCTGACATTAATTATTTTCTTGCAGATAACATCATTAGTATTGGGTTGTGATGATGTTACCTATTTTGGGTAGTGAAACGTCTGGAGGAAAGCAACCAAGCTCAGAGAACACCAAGGACCCCTCTGTAGAAATGTTAGAAAGGCTATTTTCTTTCTATTACCATCACAGAAAGAAAACTTTGATATTTATACAGAAATGTTGTCACCTTATGAGCATCGTCAATTTACACTTTCAACTATTGAAATTCTTTGCAGTCTAATCACCAAATTTCATCAACACGTCCTTGCCTTGGCCTTTGCTGTGAAGGAGATCAATGAGGACTCCCAGATATTACCTAACATCACTCTTGGGTTCCACATCTATGACAGTTACCTCCATGCAAGGATGACCTATCGCACCACTCTGGACCTCCTTTTCAAATCCCAGGAATTCATCTCAAACTATAAGTGTGATAGACAGAAGAATCTCAGGGCTATCATTGGGGGACTGGATTTTGTCACATCATCTCATATTGCTGAAATTACAGGATCCTTCAAAATTCCACAAGTAAGTTGTGAAAGGGCTAAAGAGAACAATTCTGTATTCTGTTCTTGATGTTGTTATGGATTAATCAAGGAGCAATAAACATTAGTGTTAGCTTTGTATTAAGATGTTCTGCCCAGTTTAGGGACTATTAGTTAGCATAATTTTGAAACCACAAGAAGTGAGTATCTAGAAAGATTCCATACCTGAGGAAAGATTTGAACATAGTGTTCTTTGCTTCTAACAAGATAATTGATCAATCATATGTGTTTGAAATAATTCCAATAAATTCATTTCCATATTAATACCTAGAAGAATTTCAGGAAAACATTTCCTTCCTTGCATCTATTTTGTATGAACACTAAATCTGGGCAATTGCATTTGATCTAACAACTCAAGACAATATTACTTCACTTTCTTGCAGCTGACATATGGCTCATTACCCCAAGAGGTGTTTGAGACCAGTAAACTCTCTACACTTTATTTCATGGTCCCCAAAGAGGACCATCAGTACATTGGGATTATCCAACTGCTTCATCATTTCAGGTGGACATGGATTGGGATATTTGCTGTTGACAACAATGATGGAGAAAATTTCTTACAGAAAATGCAGCCATTACTTTCAGAGAATAGAATCTGCTCATCATTCATAGAAAGACTTGCACAGCTAATCCACTTGGAAGACTACCGAGAAGTAATTCAAAGAATCTTAATTATTTCCATGAGTTGGGTAAATAGCCGAGCCAATGCATTTCTTGTCTATGGAGAATCATTGACAATTATGTGGCTGAGAGTTGTCACATTTATAATAGATCCAGAAAGCAAGGAAATTGCATTATTTAGAAGGGTATGGATCATGACTGCACAGATTGATTTCATATTATCAGGATTCCAAATCAGTTGGGATCTCCACATGTTCCATGGGGCTCTTTCCTTCACTGTTCATTCAAGAGCAGTTACAGGTTTCAAGGAGTTTCTTCAGACTGTAAATCCTCTTTCAGTCTACAGAGATGGGTTTCTACAGGAAGTTTGGGAACAATCATTTGATTGTTCATTTCGAAAACCAGAATTACAAGAAATGCATAGTAGGAAATGCACTGGGGAGATGAAGCTTGAGGATCTTCCTGGACCTGCCTTTGAAATGGAGATGACAGGCCAAAGCTACAGCATCTACAATGCTGTTTATGCTGTGGCTCATGCTTTGCAAGCACTATACACATTACATTTCAATAGAAAAAAACCTGTGATCTGTAAAAATCCTGACCCTTCACATCTCCAAGCTTGGCAGGTATTCCCTTTGCCATGGACACTTCTTTTATTTCAGTAAGCAGTTTGACGTAGAATTATGTTTTGATCCCGTTGTGGAAGTCTTAATATTTTCTGAATGTGAAATCAAGCATGAGAAAGCAATCTAGAAATAAGGAGGAATTTCCCAATAGTGAGAACAATGAACAATTAACTAGTGGAACAGTTTGCCTTCAGAAGTTTTGGATGCTCCAACATTGGAGAGGGACAAGAGAAGGACAGCCAGTTATCTAAAATATCATAGGATCCATTCCAGTTGGGCTTCAGGTCTGGGTACAGCACAGAAACGGCATTGGTCGCGTTGGTTGATGATCTCTGGAGGGCTCGGGACAGGGGGTGCTCCTCTGTCCTGGTCCTGTTAGATCTCTCAGCGGCTTTTGATACAATTGACCATGGTATCATGCTGCACCGGTTGGAAGAGTTGGGGGTGGGAGGCACCTACTATGGTGGTTCTCCTCCTTTATCTCCAACCAGTCACAGTCTCTGTTGACAGGGGGCAGAGGTCGACCCTCAGGCCCCTCATATGTGGGGTGCTGCAAGGATTGGTCCTCTCACACCTTCTGTTAAACATTTATGTGAAGCCGCTGGGCGAGATCATCCGTGGTTTCGGGGTGAAGTACCATCAGTATGCTGATGACACCCAGCTGTACCTCTCCACCCCAGACCACCCCAACGATGCCCTTGAAGTGATGTCCCGGTGCCTGGAGGTCGTACGGATCTGAATAGGAAGAAACAGGCTCAGGCTCAACCCATCCAAGACTGAGTGGCTGTGGTTTCCAACATTCTGATATAGTCAGCTGGTGCCATCGCTGACTATTGGGGGCAAATCATTGGCCCCCACGGAAAGGGCTCGCAACTTGGGCGTCCTCCTGGATCCATGGCTGTCTTTAGAAGAGCACCTGACGGCCGTGACCGGGAGGACTTTTTCATCAGGTTCACCTGATCTGCCAGTTGCATCCCTTTCTAGATTGGGACTCCCTACGCACAGTCACTCATGCCCTCATCACCTCTCGTCTGGACTATTGTAACACTCTCTACATGGGGCTCCCCTTGAGGTGCATTCGGAGGCTCCAACTGGTGCAGAGTGTGGCCGCGTGGGTGGTTATGGGAGCGACATGGAGTTCCACTGGCTCCCGGTGGTCTTCCAGGTGCGCTTCAAGGTTTTGGTTATGACCTTTAGAGCGCTCCATGGCTTAGGACCTGGTTATCTGCGGGACCGCCTGCTACCACCAATAGCCTCCCACTGGCCAGTACGCTTCCATAGAGAGGGGCTCCTCCGGGTGCCGTCGGCTAAACAATGTCGACTGGTGGCCCCTAGGGGGAGAGCCTTCTCTGTGGGGGCACCTACGATCTGGAACAAGCTCCCCCCAGAGATACGGAGGATCCCGGATCTGCCCACATTCCGTCGTGCGCTCAAGACTTTCTTATTTCATCAAGTGGGCCTGGCCTAAATCTTCTCCCCTTTTAAATGTAAATTTTAATTTGTTTTTAAATTATTGGGTATTTTAAATTTGTCTCAGCCAAATTATTTAATTCGTTTTTATTCTATTTTAAATTTTTGTATTTCTGTGTTTTATTCTGTGGCTGTTCACCACCCTGAGTCCTTCGGGAGTAGGGCGGTATAGAAATCCAATTAAATAAATAAATAAATAAATAAATAAATAAATAAATAAATAAATAAATAAATAAATAAATAAATAAATAGGGTCTCCTCCTTGACTAAGGTGTTGAATTAGAAGACCTCCAGGTCCCTTCTAACTCTGATATACTATTGTGTCTGAAATAGATATAGAAAAAATAGTTTCTGATGTTATTCTGATCATCGAGAAAATATTGTATAAATTATGATTTATATGTCAGTAGAGGTTATATCACTATACATTGCATAGTAAGGGATAGTTAAAATGATACGTTAAGTTACTTTTCATTGTCTCCTCCAAAAATAATCAATTCTCCAAGAATTTTCTATGTGGCTCATGAACTTTTCATGGGTAAGAAACTGAACTTTCTGTCTCTATCAGAGTTTTAGAGGAATGAAATAAAAGTGGCATCCATAGTATGAAACATGATTGCAATAATCTTTATCTTGCATCTCTCTATGGAGGAATGCTTGGGTCTCAGATTGTGAAATTTGGCTAAAGAACATTACTCAGATCTCAGACTGCCAAACAAGTGAATCTAAATCATAATTTAAGGAAGTTACATAATTCCAAAATCCTTTTAAAATTCTGCTTCAGTTCATTCTTTCCTTACCTTATATGAATATCGCTATAATTAATTTAGTGTCAACATGTACATTATCATGAAATATTGATTTTCAAATTTCTAAGTGCTCATACTTAATAATAGTTATAGGAATGGGAAGAATGAGTGAATGAAACTTGAATATTATTTCCTCTTATCTATTATGTTGCTTTCAATTCCCTCTCTCTTTTATTCCCTTTCAAGTAGCTCCATTCATTTCTTCAAGGCATTTCTTTTAACAATTCAGCTGGGGAGAGAGTGTTCCTGAATGAGAAAGGGGAAGCAACTGGTGGATTCGACATCACCAATTTGATCACTTTTCCAAACAGATCCTTTCAGAGAATTAGAGTTGGAAAGCTGGATCTACAGGCTCCAAAGGGAAAGGAAATATTCATTGATGAAGATGTAATTGAATGGCACCCAGCTTTTAACCAGGTATTGAATTAGTGAATCTACCATGCCTTAATCTACTATGATCCCATACTGAACATAATCATAGAAATCTAATTTCTATTTTTAAAATAAACAATACCATATTCTTTCAAATGTTGTTGATGATCAAGCATTCCTCAAATAGACAAATATGATATTACAATGTGAAAGCTATGGTTGCATATTTGGTGGGCATTTTCATTTGAAATCACAAGAGTGGCCATGTTTCCTTAAGATTCCCACCCTGTGCAATCATTTACTCACCCTGCCCGTCAAACATGATCTTTTGTAAAACATTGTAATTTCTACATCTTTTAACTTCTTGATGAATTTGTTAAATTCCCTATCCATTTCAGAAGGTGATAATCATGTCTTTGCATTAAGGAGAAAATTCAGAAACTGTTTTAAAAATCCTTCTTTTCAAAACATTTTAATGATTATCACCAGGTTCTTCCACTTTCCAGATGTAATGACCCTTGTTTCCCTGGATCCTGGAAGAAAAGGATTGAGGGGGATCAATTCTGCTGCTATGACTGTGCTCCATGCCCTGAAGGGAAGATTTCAAATCAAAATGGTAGGATTGCAATTCTACCACATTTCATTAGACTTAACCAAACTTTAACATACAACTTTAGGGTGCATAAAATTAATAATTGAAATGCTTAGATGACAAATTTCTTGACTTTCCTCCCAGATATGGATGACTGTTTTCAATGTTCAGAAGATCATTATCCAAATAAGGAAAAGAAAGGATGTATCCTGAAACCGGTGGTGTTTCTAACCTTTGAAGAAACCTTAGGAATTGGTTTAGCCTCAGTAGCTCTTGGTTTCTTCTTCTTGACATCTTCGGTCCTTGGAACTTTTATTAAGCACAAGGATACTCCTATTGTCAAAGCCAATAACAGGTCCCTCACCTACACCCTCCTTGTATCTCTTTTACTCTGTTTTCTCTCCTCTTTGTTCTTCCTCAGCCAACCTGGCAAAGTGACCTGCCTTCTCCGACAACCAACTTTTGGCATCACCTTCTCAGTTGCCATTTCTAGTGTACTGGCCAAAACCATCACTGTGGTTGTGGCTTTCATGGCCACGAAACCAGGATCTCAGATGAAGAAATGGGTGGGGAAAAGATTGGCTTTCTCTATTGTCTTTTCATGCTCTCTATTACAAGTATGGATTTGTATTCTTTGGTTGTCAACATCTCCCCCATTCCCTGTGTTGGACATGCACTCAGAGCTCCAAGAAATGATTTTACAGTGTAATGAGGGGTCAGCTTTCTTCTTCTACTGTGTCTTGGGCTACATGGGTATCTTGGCCATCGCCAGCTTTATGGTAGCTTTCCTTGCCCGTAAATTACCTGACAGCTTTAATGAAGCCAAGTTCATCACCTTCAGCATGTTGGCCTTTTGCAGTGTGTGGATCTCCTTCTTTCCAGCCTATCTGAGCACAAAAGGAAAAGCCATGGTAGCTGTGGAGGTCTTCTCCATCTTGGCCTCCAGTGCTGCATTACTGGGATGCATGTTCTTGCCAAAGTGTTACATCATTGTTTTCCGGCCTGACCTCAACCACAGGGAGCAACTCACAAAGAGAAATTAGTATATCATACAATCTTTCTTGCACACCAGAACATCTAGACACAAGTACAGTTTTTTTCCCGAACGCCATCACTCTGCTAAACAAATAATTTCCTCAACACTGTCAAACTATTTACTAAGTCTGCACTACTATTAATCTTCTCATCTTCTCATCGTTCCCATTATCCATCTCCTCCCATTTATGACTGTATGACTGTAACCTTGTTGCTGGTATCCTTCAGATTTATATTGATTGTTTCCCTATGACTATCATTAAGTGTTGTACCTTATGATTCTTGATGAACGTATCTTTTATTTTATGAACACTGAGAGCATGTGCACCAAGACAAGTTCCTTGTGTGTCCAATCACACTTGGCCAATAAAAAATTCTATTCTATGACAAAAGAGAATAGAAAGACTGCTTGTTGCCTATGGGGAATATGTATAGAAATTTTATTTCTGTCAAAGGAGGTTTCTGGAGGATTATTCTTAGTAGCAAGATTTATTATAGTTGCCCATTCCAAAAGAAGTAGTTTTGGTGCTGCATTTTCAACCATTTTCCAAGATTGTTTATTCTACCCTTTTGTCCCTTTAAACAGTCAACTTCAAGAGACTTTTTAGAAAATCGATATCTCGTGTTCTGTTAGGACTTTTCGGGTATTGACTCAAAGACTGCCCAATATTTGATGTGCTATTTTCATGATATTTATACTTTCTATTTATAAATCGCTATATAAATATGCCAAACATCTGAATATCATTTTTAGACATAAATTCAACCCAGTATCATTTCACCTTGTTTTTTAAAATGTCATCTTGGATCATAACTCTTCATTCTTTATCTGTAAATCAGTAACTGATGATCAGATCATCATAATATGGAAAACTAACAAGATGAAATTAAATGTATTTTTGCTTCTGCCTTATCATTTATTCAAAGTGTAGCACTGCCCAATAACTATAATAGAGAGTGATTTTTATTTCTTTAGCGGAATACTGGTAGAACCAGGGAGAATAATGAAAATGGAGATCAGTTTAGAGACATCAGATAGCCACAAATGCAACCCTCATTTGAATGTCTTCGACCCTTATCTCTTTCTAACCATATGCTGACCATTCTTTGAGTGTATTCCTCTGCATAGACTTTAAGCAATAAATCAATTTACTTGAATCTTCATTGTGGACCTGTTTTTTCTGTGCCTGACATGAATCTCCATTCCCAAAAGTGTTTACTGAGAAGCAATGGAAACCACTGTTGATGCCCATGTGCACATGGCCACTCCTGCCCTGCCCTAATGGCAGCCCCAGGCCATCTGGTGGTTTGGGGTTGACACTGGAGTGGCAAGGTTGAGCAGAGCAGAATGGCTGCAGGAGAAGTGACTGGATGAGCAGCCAGCTAAATTAAGGGACAGGAGAGGTGTAAGTGCAGATGGCCATCAGAGATCAGGAAGAATTGCTTCCTCCTTCCTTCTCCTGATCTGAGAATGCAAAAGCCCAAGGGGAGGCAGACACAATGAAGGTCAACCATGCTATTTGTGAGACAGCATTCTCTCTCACACACACACACACACACATACCTTGATGGCGGCACTGATGAATGGCTATTGATCTCAGTGCATGAAGGGAAACAATGCTGGAAACAGCTGCTGTGATTTTTGCCTTGACACCTCAACCATGATTCTGTACCTCAAACTTTGGATCATATCAAAGTAAACTTGCCTTTACTTTGTGGACTTGCCTTTACCTTGAGGACTAGCCTTTGCCCTGTGTACTGGATAGTCTATTGAATAGACTATTGTCTATTGCAAGGGTCACTAACCTTTCGGACCTCAGGGACCGCTAAATTCATAATTTTAAATCCCACGGAACACTAATATGATCTGCCTAATGACTGGCTGGGTGGGTGAGGCTAGGTGGACATGTGACTGGGTCAACTCGATGTCACTCACATTGAGGGGCACTTCACCAGCTTCTACTCACCCCTCCCCTCCCAGCCACTCCTTGCCTCCCCACCCAGGCTCCTTAGGACCCCAAGAGGAAGCAGTTGTTGGAGCTAAGCAGCCACCATGAGAAAGAGTTGGCAAAACAGCTGGCTCAGTTCAAATTGGATCTGACCAAGAAGGAGAAGCAGCTCACTGGGGACTATGAGCATAGGCTTTTCAAGCAGAGGGAAGACCTGTAGGAGTGCAAGGCCAGGTACCAGTGCCTGGAGGCTCAGCAGGCTGAGATGGTCAGTCAGTTCCAGGAACTGGAACAAGGTCTTCCGGCTCTTTGCCACCATCAGCGCTTCCCTCCAACCTTCTCCCAAAGCCCCACACCAGGAGGCTGAAGCAGACCCCAAGTCAGAATTTCTGCCCCCCCCTCTGACCCACACAACAAGACCCTGAAGGGGGAGACTCTCTGCAGCAACACAAACATTAATTGCACATATCCGGCCCAGGGGCCATAGTTTGAGGACCCCTGATTTAGTGCAATATAAAAAATGCAAATAATTTTTCTGCAGACCACCAAAATTTTCTCACGGACCACCAATTGGTGACCGCTGGTGTATTGTATTGTATTGTATTGTATTGTATTGTATTGTATTGTATTGTATTGTATTGTATTGTATTGTATTGTATTGTATTGTATTGTATTGTATTGTATTGTATTGTATTACAGCATTGTCTGGGGTGCTCCACATCCTCTCCATGACCAGTTTTCTTTGTTAACTTCTGGGAGGAGGCTTTGCAGTTGAAGAGAACTAGATTCTATAGCAGCAATAGCACTTAGACTTTTATTTATTTATTAATTATTTATTTATTAGTTCAATTTATATGCCGCCCTTCTCTGGAGACTCAGGGCAGCTTTCAATGCATTAAGCAATAGCCTTCATACTTTTGTATATACCTGCTTAATAGGGCTTTCAGCCCCCCCCCCCAAGCGGTGTTCTTTTTTATACAAAGTCAGTTTATTGCCCCCACAATCCAGGTCCACATTTTACCTACCTCGAAAGGATGGAAGGCTGAGTCAATCTTGAGCCTGGTGAGATTCGAACTTGCAGTAATTGCAGGCAGCTGGTGCAGGCAGCACTTTAGTCTGCTGTGCCACCAAGGCTCTTGGTCTTATATACTGCCTCATAGTGCTTTACAGCCATCTCTAAGTAGTTTACAGAGTTGATTGACCTTTCGGAAGGCCAATAGGGTGGGGTAAGATCTTATCCTATCTTACCTTAATGATGATGATGATAATAATATTATTATTATTATTATTATTATTATTATTATTATTATTATTATTATTATTTTATTTCTATACCGCCCTTCTCCTGAAGGACTCAGGGCGGTGTACAGCCAATTTAAAAACACAAGACAAAACAATGATTAAAAATTAAAATAATTAAATAGATTTGGCCCGGTTTAGAACCCCGAAAATTTAAAATACCCCAATTTAAAATTATTATGTTGATAGCCCGGCCTGGTGGAACAACAGGGTCTTCAGTGCGCAGCGAAACACCCAGAGGTCGGAGATCTTACATATTTCCGGGGGCAGTTCATTCCACAGGGCTGGGGCTCCCACAGAGAAGGCCCTCCCCCTGGGTGTCGCCAGCTGACATAACTTGGCTGATGGCACCCTGAGGAGACCCTCTCTGTGGGAGCGAACTGGTCGGTGGGAGGCTATTGGTGGCAGAAGCCGGTCTCAAAGGTACCCGGGTCCTATGCCATGAAGCACTTTAAAGATGATGACCAACACCTTGAATCGCACCCGGAAGACCACTGGGAGCCAATGTAGCTCACGCAGGAGGGGTGTCACGCGGGCACAATGAGTTGCGTCCATAACCACCCACGCGGCCGCATTCTGGACCAGTTGGAGCCTCTGAGTGCTCTTCAAGGGGAGCCTTGAAGAGAACTCGGAGCATTACCTTATCCAAGATAAGTAGAAACAATACATGATCAGCCTTTAAAAATTGGCACAGTTATATGGTTCCCAATGCAATAGCAATAGTACTTAGACTTATATACTGCTTCATAGTGTTTTTACAGCCATCTCAAAGCAGTTTACAGAGTTAGCATATTACCCCAACAATCTGGGACCTCAATTTACTCACCTTGGAAGGATGGAAGGCTGAGTCAACCTTGAGCCAGTGAGATTTGAACTGCCGAACTACAGCTAGCAGTCAACGGAAGTACCTTGCAGTACTGCACTCTAACCACTGTGCCACCTTGGCTCATATGCAAATAGGTAACAACATGCATGCTAGTCGTTTCTGGCTCTAGTGGGCAGTGCTCATCTCCTTTTCAAAGATGAAGAGCCAGCACTGTCCAAAGATGTCTCCATGGTTATGTGGCCGGCATGGCTAAATGCTAAAGGCGCACAGAACGCTGTTACCTTCCCAGCAAAACTGCTCCCTATTTTTCTACTTGCATTTTTTATGTGCTTTCAAACTGTTAGGTTGGCAGAAGCTGGGACAAGTAACGGGAGCTCACCCCATTATGCGACACTAGGGATTCGAACCACTGATTGACAAGCTCAGAATCTTCAAACCCAGCATACTCAACTGAAAATCCTGTATGTCACCAGCCTTTCTGATCTCTTGGGAGCAGAGTGGCTGAAATTTCAAACAAATGATAGATTGGAGCCTGAAACTCTGCCTTTTATGTTTCCAGTTTACCAACTTCATGTACAAGCAACAGATCAGCAGGCCGTTTGGGTTAACTGGCAGAAAGCCCAAAGGAGAGAAAAGCCAAATTAAATATACAGATGTTCTAGATATTGGGGGGGAGGGGGAGAGAGAAGGATGAAGTATTTCCCACACATTGAGACCACAACTTGTGAAATTGCAGCAAAATGAACATTTATTTTGGAATGAGCAATATTAATAAATCTTAATAATAAAAAATATTATACATCCCTGTAAATAGAAAACTGTCTTTCTATTCCTTTTTTCAGGAATTTCTCTGAACCTAAATTATCACATGGTGTACTAATTTCTCTTTGTGAGTTGTTCCCTGTGGTTGAGGTCAGGCCGCAAAACAATGATG